ACTTCCCTGTCTTCAATTATATAGTCACTTGGAAGTTTGTTGCATAAAGCGCACAAAATTGGAACTTGGAAGTAAAATGTCACTAATATATTAGATGAATATGAGTTAAGGGCTGCAAACGTCTATGCGAGTCCACGATCTTTTCCTAATAGGTCTATTAGTTGAGTACTTTTTTACTTTCCAATAGAGAGTATAAAAAGAGCATCTATGTCGCCTCATTCAACATTCTTGATAACAATTACATCAATTATCTTCCTTTTCTTATTTTCTCTTATTCAGTTTCGAGAATACATATATATAGTTACTAAATTCGACTATTTATATTTTTAAATGGTGCAAGTGAGATGAGATTATATTTATATTGTTATTTGTTGTATTTTTCATTACATTTCATGACTAGCTAGGTTTGGGGAAGATCATAATAAATATATATTCTATAATGGTTAGTGAGAAAATAGACAAACTGAAGATAGCGGAATGGGGAGGAAGCTAAAGACAGGTGGAGTTTAAATGAGTATAATGGTTAGTGAGAAAGTGAAAGAGATGCTTGATGCTTCAAGCTCCGATTTTGGAATCGAAAATGGTGGATGAAACTACTTTAGAGGAGCCTAATTGGGGAATAGACATGAGGATTTGCGCTCAGTTCAACAATGAGGAGTTTAACGGAACCGAGATTGTTAGATTCATCAAGAGGAAAATATCATGGAAGAACCCCGTTAGCCAAGGCTAGCCCTTGAGCTTCTTGAAGATTGTGCTATGAATTACGAGAAATGAACTTCTTCTGGCTCTCTCCTACGTACACTGCAAGAAACCCTTTTGGCACCACCGAGGCTGCACTTTTGCTAGAAACTGCTACGGTGTGAGGCCAATAATCTTCTTTGCACCCAATAGACTTCTCACCAAAGCCATATCTATATTTTTTGTCTGAAAATTTTGAATTCTTTTGAAACTTCTGAAGATGTATGAAGAGATTCAAGCTATTGGATTGGTTGTTGTTGGTTGATAGTAGAAGGAACGGATTATGTGTATTTTATATAGAAAGATCAATGAATGAGTTGAGACTTCTCTGAAAGATTTTTCAAAACTTGTGGTCTTGAAACATATGACAAACTTGTATTTTTTTTAGATAAGACATGTACTACTATCAATATTAAAGACCAACACATTTATATTCTTTGTGTTTTGTAATCATATTCTTTCATCTAGTTGTTCTGGTTCATGTTCGTCACTGTTGGAGATAAAGTTGTTGGAAGATACGACAAAAAGACAAAAGCATGAGGCAGGGGCCTCTCCTAGATTAAGGCAACAAATTTCTTCAAGTACACCAATGTTATGAGCTTATTATAAGTGTCTGCTACTGGTTCCTTAACAACAATCTTTAAATCTCATTACTAGTTGCATCTTTCCACATTTGTTCGGCCATTACTTCTCTCCACATGTTGGCATTTTCTCTTTCTTGATCTTGCGTTTCAGGAATTTTCTCACCAGTTTCAGGATCACCTCCTGCATTGTTTTTTTCCATATTTTCTCTATTGATAACTTCAACAGGAACTTCCGCAGGAAATTCATCTGATCGACAATGTTTGCGAAGAAAATTATGTAAGGCTACACAAGCCAACACTAATTCTGTCTGTGTCTTGAAAGGAAATGGAGGAGCAGATTTGAATATCAGAAACCGTGACTTAAAAACTCCAAATATTCACTCAAGTATGTTTTTTAATGCGGCATGACGATGATTAAACAATTCATGTAGAGTTTCTGGATCGCAGCCTTGACCAGTAAATTCTTGGAGGTGATACTTAGTACCTCGAAAAGGAGCCAAGAATTTTCGTCTATTTGCAAATCCACAATCAGCCAAATAAAATTTTTCTGAAATAAAATTAATAAATAATTAGTAATGTATTTATTAGTTACTATATGGAATTATCAGTCGTATCATTTAGTATATGAAATTACCATGTGGAACCTCAAATTTATTAGTCCTCCTTGTTAATGCATCATATAATACTTTCGAATAATGAGCTGAACCCTCCCATCCACTGAGAACGTATATGAACTCCATATCAAAATTGCAAACAGCTAATACGTTTTGCGATACTACTCCTTTTCGATTTCTGTAGCTAGCAGCATCATTCATAGGTACCATAGCTGGTATGTGTGTACCATCAATTGCTCCCAAACAATCCTAAAATCAATATAACTTATTAGTTTTCTAAATCACAAAGGAAAAATATGTAAACCAAAATAAAATATACCTTGAAATAAGGATAGAATCTTGTACTCTCTCTTATTTTTGCAGCTACTGTAAGGCTGGGCTTGGCCATCAAAGTTGGAGCAATTGTATTTATTGCCCTTAAAACCTTATGAAAATTTGTACTCGTTGCAAATTTTGATCTTTTGAAGGTGTCTTTAGTATGACAATACCTCGAATTTTGGCCGACGGTAGCTAGAAAAGTGGCAACCATTTCTTCAACACAAATGAATCTTGTATCTTTGAGATGTGTCATATCACGAATAAGAGCACATAGCTTGAGAAACACATCTGGATACATACGATACAATTGTCGAAAATGCTGAGGATCTTCTTGTAACACATTGTGTATATCCAACTCTTGTGATGGGTCGTCGGATTGGATACTCGATATGATCTTTAAACTTGAAATATTGATGTGCAATCAATACTTGTGCCAATCCAGTCATTGTCACCAACAAATACAATATTTTTGTATCTAAATCTTCATCTTCAATTTGCTCTTTTGCGATTTCTTCTTCATCTGATAACCTTGTGTAAGAAAAAAAGAAAGTAGAGAAATTAATTTACAAGAATGAATAATATGTGATTATATTTAATAAGACGAGTGATATATATGCTAAAAAAACAGAATACTAATATTAAAAATTTATTACTGAT